TGGCGTATTGAAGCGTATCTGGCCGATACAATGACTTGCGTTGGCCACGATGTACAAGTCAGTGCTTCTATCCTCCCAGACAAGCCTGTTACCAACTAGCTGACCCCAGAGGGGTGGGAGGTTTGGTCAGCTTGAGCGGATATCGTTCTGGAATTTGAGACTGTGACTGTGCGTGTAAGATAGTGCGTCACTTGCCACTACACCACATCCGCGCATCAAATACGACATAAAATAGTAACGAAGTAATTAAAATAATTAAATATGAGTAGCATAAGCAATCGGCTATCGGCGAAAATTACTTTTTTCCAAAACTCGACATAGGTCACATTAGCACGAATACGGAAGGGCTTGTTTTTGAGCCCCTTTGTTAGAGAAATTTTTCTCCAAAGTTTTTTCAGTGATACCAGCCTCAACGATACGATGAGCACACCCGAAAGCAGCATCCTTCTTAAAGAAGAACCCCAGAGAGCTGCAGGAGACTATGATGATACCAAATCAGGAAACTCCTCCGGTTCTACAGAAGAACCCCAGACGATTTCAGGAGATGCCGAGAAACCATATCCAGAAGACCCCACCGGTCCCACAAAAGAACCCCAAACAGCTTCAGGAGAATCCGAAAAACCGAATCCAGAAGGCTCCACCGGTTCTACAGAAGAACCCCAGACGATTCCAGGAGATTCCGAGAAACCAAATACAAAAGACTCCAACGACTCTACGGAAGAACCCCAGACAGCTTCAGGTCTTTCTTCTTACATAATCAGGTGTCACCACGCAAGCTGAATCATTTCTTCATTCAATATTTATCTATTTATTATAACAAATCCGGTTCTTAAGTTCTCGAATATTCGCAAATCGCAACTACGGAAAAGCAATTAGGCGTTGTTTATAGTCTGCTATTATAACAGATCGAGAACTCCGGGAGCAAAAGGACTGAGTTTGGGGCAACTATCTGTTGGTTCCGTAAAAATTACTAAAAAGCATGGGAATAAGAGACCCCGAACACATTGCCTTCAACCAAGCCAAGATAGTAGTTCTCTCATACTCTGGAGCACCCTCATACTCCTCCTGTCTAATAGCTCAGAGGGCTGGGCAGTGGGAGCTACTCGTACATAGTTGCTTTTGTTCCAGAACCAGGATTTCAGGGGCTTGGCCCTTTCATAGGGTGTTAAAAAAGTATTTATGCAGTTCTATACTGTGTTGCACAAAGTAATGACTGATATCAATCTATGTTACAAATAAGTAAATATATTTACCCACAAGTCAGGTTCCATAGCACCTAAGGGAACAGAACGGGACTTGAGAACACCTGGTTCCAATAGAGTGGAAGGCTACACATGCCGCCAAGTGGATAAACTTCTGAAGGGCTTTTGGCGACCGCGAAAGTTCTCGAGATTTCTGGATCATCCCACAGTTTTTATGAGGTTCGTTGAAGGCGAAGGTAGACAATCCTACATCAAACAGAAACTCCAAGATCCACTGGCACTTCTCATCTGGAACATCTCTCGTAAGGATCTGCATAATGTCTCTAAGAACTCACAAAAGGGTGGGCAACTGTTGTTTCATGCTCCATGGAATCACTTCGGGTTCCTCCTATAGCTCACTACTTATTATAGTAAACGGCGAACCGCATAGCCACTTACTGATCACCCGGTATATGACCGAAATGGCTCTAGAAGTATATCACCTAGAGGGCCTACTCTGGCTCTGACTGATCACGACCTTTTGATGAGCTGGGATCACCATCCACGTCTGGGTAATGGCGATCATATTACGGGTGACAGGAGAAAGGGGTGATCGGAAGCGACGGCAACCGTTGAAAAGCGGTGTACTGTACATGTGGTTGATTCCATCAGGCTATATGCTCACGTCAAAAATAAGCCATGCATGTCCAGTTCACTTCTGAAGAAAAACTGTGAACGAAAGAAAGAGAAGTAGAGGAGCTACATAGTTTTTGTTTGTTTCCTCTTATACCACGGAATAGTTTCCCTTGGTCATGTATTGTCCCCAAAGCATGGCTTATTTCAAAAAATTAGTGGATTCATCGCATATTTTATAATCTAAAGGAGCGTTTATACTACCGTCTTTGATCAATCAATACTGATCGTTCCAGATGGATCAATACAGTCCTTCACTGACATGCCGATGGTCGATGCAAATATGACAGCTTCTGATTCGAACAAGTACGATGTTAAAGTAGACGTAAAGGATTTGGTAACAAAGTCTGAGGTACTCTAAACGAATAAGCTACCGTACATCTAAATCATACCAACCTTCGGGATCAAAAGGAGCCCTTTCTCTCCCCCCCCCCCCCCCCCCNCCCCTCCTGTGCTTACCCCATCAGATTGGTGTTCACTCAGAGTTACAAGTGCAGGGGTTCATGGCGAAGCAGGTGCCGAAAAAGACTATCTGCCGTCAGTACAACCTGCGCCCTTCTCCTGAGCCCTACCGGCAACCGCTCCGTAGGCCCGTAGGCCATCAGGCAACTGGCTACTCCTACTCCCACAAAACTTCTAAGATTCATTTTTCGCTCAACTATGCTGGAGACTTTTCATGGAACTCGATAAAACCAAAGCCATTCAGGTCAACTGCCGCCACTGACGAATCTGCCTTCGGTGTAAGCGACGATACAAATGACACAAGTACAACGCCGTTCCCAGGCTAGTATCCCCAAACTGGTACCAGCAATAGTTAGCGTAGAGCTTCTCTATTCCCCTCGAAACTTCATGGTACCATGAAGATTAGCTTTTTATCCCAAGTGATCTTGTCACATAAATTTCCTTACCTGACCTTATGATGCCCCCTGCGCTTCTTTGCCTATTTTTATCCCCTATATCCCTTTACAAATTAGTTTCCTTTTGTAGATACGGAACAAAAAACGACACCATTCGAAACCTCGTATTCGCCTTCAGGTATACCACCAGGTTCGTCTAAGCATTATATATAAAATAGGGTTGCTACAGCCATATTCAAGTTGTATTGATTGATCCTCTATCTTCACCAAAGACAAGACCTAGCCTCCCAATATTTGGATAGGATAGCAGCCTTGCGATGTTTCCCGGCTTCGATTCAAAGCTAGAGACTCTGAGATAATCTCATGATCTACAAAATCTATTCCATAGTAGCATTATTAGGAAAGATACAGTTTTGAATAAGTGAACTATGTAACTAGATATACGAACCTCACTTGGAAGCGCCACAGACTTGTCCGGGCACGGGGGCGGGGCGTGCGTCTTAGGGAGCGGAGCTTCGCTCAGAACACGGAAAATCTGCGAAACTTCTAATAATGCGTGGAGCTCATGAATAAATAGACTAAGCTGAGGTTCACCAGTAGCCTGCGTAGTCTATGTGAAGAATCTTATACCAATAAGAACGATTTGAGCTTTTTACATAAGGAACATGATTAAATAATTCAACAATAGCATTAATTTAAGTTATTTTTGTAAAGAGTATGCAAAATTCTAGAAATGGCGAAGAATAAAAAGATTCAAATAATTCATAGGAAGGTTATAAAAATAATTAAAAATTTTGCATCGGATCACCTGGTAAAATTATAGCGATGTATACGTTTTCGGCGATTATAAATCCTTCTCATCCAGCAATTCACTTTAACTGAGTTTATTGGTGTTCAGGAGTGACACCTGAAGGCTCAAAACCATCTACCACGGAAGGGCCCACACCTAAAGGTATTCTTTCTTGTTCACCAAATTTCCCTTCAATGTATCACAGCCGGCGATTTCATTATTTTAATAAAATTTGAAAACCACAATTAGAAAGTAGTTGGTCAG